TGAAAGATCTTGTTGTGGATGCTTATTGTCACCGTCATAATCTTTTTTTATTAAATGATAACTGTGTACATTAATGCAAACATGGAGTACAGTGTAGTGTTTTCATATACAATTTGAAATATTTTCATCAAACTGGTTAACATAGACTTTATGTCATTTACGTAGTTATTGTGTTAAGACAATTTACACTCTAGTTTTAGAAAGATTCACTTATACCCTTTATCCAATGTACACAGCCCTATTATGAAACTAATTTATAGGTCTCAAATGAAAGCCACTGTCATGATCTTTACAGTAAATAGTCTCCAACAGGGAGATTTTCCTTGGGGAGCCATGCAGGACAAAGTTGCGAGGCAAGAAATCTGATCAAAACATTGCATTAGCAAGTGAGATTAAATTCTCACCAAGGAGCAAAATTCCTTAAGATGCAGTCAAAACAACTATGAAAGATTTCAGTGACTTTCAATAACACAGTTAAAAACCAACATAAGAATGAGGTGTAAGTGAAACAGAGCTTCAAAAATATCTTCACTGGATTATTCTCCTAGAACATCCATTTCTCTTCAAGCTTACCTAAGTGGCTCTGACATTATTGTCTCTCACACTTTAATTGCTGCAGTACCTGCAAAGAGGCCTGCTTTAGTTTGCTGTTTCCTAGAATTAGGATACATGAGTGAGCCCAGGGATAGATGACTGAGGTTGTCATCCCACAAATGAACATGAGTTTGTTTTCTAGCACAGTAGATGATATTTCCATGGCATAGCCTATAAAATACAAGATAAAGAAAATGATGAAAGATATCAGCATTTTCATTGCCTTTACATGAGCTTCAGTGCTGGGGTCTCTGAATCCTGTGGCATTCAATAGCATCTTCTTATTGTGTCTCCAAAGGGAAATGATTAATAGGAAACATGGAATTAAGGATAGTGTAAGGAAGAAGATGACTCCCAGATTTATTAACACCTGTTGAACAAAGAATTCACTTTTTTGCCTCTTGAATTGGCCAGTTGTGTTTCTGTTCTTCATTTTCTTATCATTAAAAACCTTCATGACTTGTGGAAGAGTAATT